TCTTGCACGCTTGCGCGCGCGCTCGGGGGGCCACACCCGAAACTGCTCGCGCACGGGAGTAGAACGCGCACAAGGCTTCGCCACCGTGCAAGGGCCAGCGCGCGCCAGAGGCTGCGGCATCTTCCCAGAAGCGCCCGCGCGCCTGCGATCTACTCATCCTCCGATGGATCCTCATCGTCCTCCGCCGCGTCCTGAATTGGCTCGAGCAAGCGCCGCGCCTCCATCATCGCCCCCGCGAAGTACTTCTCCACTTTCTCGACGAAAGCCTCGTCGCCGCCGAGCATCTTCGCGAAGTTCTTGTCACGCCCCGCCAAGTGCATCGCGCATCGGTCCAAGGTCGAGTCGAGCCACTCCCGGTGCACCTCGTTCGCCGCCACGCCCTCGCACTCCATCGCGCCAGCGGCTGCGATTGCCAACGCGCCAGACCCCGCCCCGAAGTCAACGATGTGCGCGACGTGGTGGTGCTCGCAAATGCGCTGCCACAAATGCAATGGCTTCACTTCGAGGTGAGCGAAGGGGCGCCCTTTCGCTTCGATGTCTTTCTGCGCGCGCTTCCCTTTTACCGCGCCAGAGGCTGCGATTCCCAGAATTGAAGCTTTCGTCTCGTAGGTCATTCGCGGGAGCTCGCAGTACTGCCGCATAGGCACGCCCGTGTACGTCGTTGCGGCACTCGAAGACTCGCCGCACGTGTTAAACTCCGCGCGCTCCACTACCTTCATGGCGCCCCTCTTCGGGATCGAGCAGATGGCCACTTCCTTGTTGTTGCACGCGAAACAACTCACTCTCCCTGGAACTCTGGGATCCTCTTGCTTGGGCGGCTGCACGTACACGCACCAGCACTCCGTCAGGGCGTGCGCGCCAGAGGCTGCGAGACTATCCTCTCTCTCTCTCCTCGATCACCTTGCGGCACGAGCGGCTCCGCCCATCGAGGAAAATGACTATGTCCTGAACCGAGCGCTTCTGGCAGACGAAGTCCAGCGCCCGCCCGAAGCGCTCCGCATCGCAACCGACGGGGTCGCCCAAGTTCGCCGCCGCCCCGCTCTTGCTCACGTTTGGTGGAAAAAGGTCCGCCGACAAAATGAATGCTCGCGCGTCGTTTTTTTTTCCTGGCGCACCTGTGTCCGAGACGCATCTCGCCCCACACCTTCTGCAACTGGGCAGTGCTGTATTCCCCGCAAGACACTCCGCCGACGGTCGGCAGCGCCAGGAACGAAACGGTCTTCCTGCGCAAGGTGATCAGCAACTCCTTGGTTTTTCGGAGGTCCTCCTGGTCAGCATCCCCGAGCTCCGACGCCCCCATGACCTAGCCGGAGGCCGAGTTCGCGGCAGGGTTCGCCGAGATGGGGCCTGCCGAGCAAGCTGCGACCAGCGCGCGGCACTTGGCGCCCATCTCCTCGGCGCTCTCGTTGAAGTACCGGTGCCGCAAGAATCCGGGCGCACCTCCCTGCAGGTCCTGGGAGACGAGCTCCTCGAGCTCCTCGTCAAAGTGGCCAGACCAGACGCCCCGCGCGAAGTCGATCACCGCCTGCGTCTTCCCGTCCTGCCCCTGCTGGTCGCTGTGGTTGGCCACTGGGACAGCGAACGTGTTTTCGACCCCCCCTCCGGAGCCACGAGTCGCAGTCTCGTCTCGGCGAAACTGAGCAGCTAAGCCATCTTCCTCGCCAGAGGCTGAGAAGCGCTTCAAGATGGCAAGCGTCGAGCGAAGCATGGAGACTGAAAGCAACATCTCTTTGTCGATCATCTCCGCCTCGTGAAGAATGTGCGCGATGAGATCTTGCTTCTTGCAGAGAATGTGCGCCATCGCTGTTTTTTTTTCTCCTGCCCCGTGACTTCGCCCAGGGTCAACCCCTCCCCCTTGGGGGCGTCGCCGGTCAGCCGGGCCGCGCGCGAGCAATCCATGATGAACGCCATCGACTGACGGGAGGTCTCGTGCTTGTCCGCCTTGGAAGACGCCGCCCTTCCATTGCATAACTGAGCCAAGCGCAGCAGCAACGTGGGTTCGCGAAGCTCAGGGCAGAAAGCCTCCGCCAAAGAGTACGCCGCGACGCACGCATCATCCACAACGAAAGGCGTCAAGTTTTTTTTAACACTTCGCGTGTGACTCGGCGAGCGGCTTGCCCTTGAAAGTGAGCCCGTACGTCTTGAGGACGGCGAACAATTTCGGAAGGGACAGGTTGTCGGCCAAAGCCTTCTGGCACCTTGAGAGGCGAGCCGCCTTCTCAGCCAGCTTCCAGAAATAATCTGCGCCAGAGGCTGCGCACGACGTGAACATGGTCTCAGAGAACATCAGCGCAGCCAGCTGGCAAGCGTCCGAATCGGGGCTGAGACGCAGCCTGATTGGCACGCTCAACGCTGCCTCAAACAGCTTGAATGCACGATCAGCGTTGCCTGTGGACAACGCCTCTGCCATGGCGCCATACCAAGCCATCGCGAGCGCGTGCCCCGCCAGCATGGGCACGCCCGTTGACATGAGCACTGAGGATTCGCCTGCGGCCGTGCGCTGCGCCACCCTGGTGTTCACCACTCGCGCGGGGAGCGGCACGTCGAACGAGTAGCGCCGCGACGGCGGGTGGTCGGATGACAGCAGGAGCCTCTCCTCAGACCACATCCCCATGGCGGCATCGAGCTGGCTGATCGGACGTGTCGCTGGCGAGCGGGTCAAGCATCCAGACTGCCCCCGCGGCCTCGTATTGCCCCGTCTTAGAGAAACTCATCTGCAAGTTGTCGCTGTTCATGACCTCGCGGAACGCCGCCAAATTCGCGCCAGAGGCTGCGTCGGAAATTCTAAAGGGAGGGATGAGCATGACGGGGCCCGGAATTTTGAAGGACACCTGCGTGTGTCGATCTGTTCAGAAACTTCAGGAGAGCCTTGTCAACGTACTCCTTCGCCTCTTTTGCCCAACTGCGAAGATGCTCCGTCTGGGTCTTCAGCGACTCCATCTCCAGCAGCCCCGCGACGCCCAGCGGCCCTGGCGGCGAAGGCAACGGCGCAGGCTGCGCTTCGGCAGCTGGCTGCGCCGAGCGCAGCCTCTTCGCCGCGGGGCCGCCTCCCTGCTGCGCCGCCATGCGCGCGAATGAACGAAGTGGCGCAACAAGAAGCGCGCGCGGCACGTTGCCGGCAGTTGGCACTTGGGCCGCTTTGCTGCGACGCGCGGTCTTCTCAACCGCACTTTGGGATGCCCAGGCATGCTTGGAAAGGTGGCATGGTTTACTTGTGGTCGGCGTCTGGTCTACTCCTGGGCAGTCTGGTCTACTTGTGGGCGGCGTACCGTCTACTTTCTGGCAGGGCTGGTGTACTTTCGGGCTGGCGTACTTTCGGGCAAGTGTACTGTCGGGCGGGGTCTGGCATACTTTGGGACGGGGTCTGGTCTACTGCGCGGTGCATGATTTACTTTTTGGCGGGGTCTGGTATGCTTTCTGTGTGGTCTGGTCAACTTTTGGGTGGTCTGGTCTACTGCTTGGCAAGGTCTGGCTTAATTTTTGGCAGAGTCTGGGCTACTCCTGGGCAGGGTCTGGTCTACTTTTCCGCGGGGTCTGCTCTATTTTTTGGCAGGGCCTGGTCTACTATTTGGCAAGGTCTGGTCTACTTTTGGGAAGGGTCGGGTCTATTTTTTGCAGGGTCTGGTATACTTTTGGGCAGGGCCTGGTCTACTGCTTGGGTGGGTATCATATAATTTGTTGTCAGTGTCTGGTCTACTTTTTGGGGCAGGGTCTGTTCTATTTACGGCTGGGTCTGGTTTGCTCATGGGTGTTCAGGTATGTTGTTGTTTTTTTTTTTTTCTTTTCACAGGGTCTGCTCTACTTTTTGGCGGAGTCTGGTCTACTTTTCGGCGGGGTCTGGTCTACTTATTGGCAGGGTCTGGTCTACTATTTGGCAAAGTCTGGTCTACTTTTTGGAAGGGTCTGGTCTACTTTTTGCAGGGCCGGGTCTACTTTTTGGCAGGGTCTGGTCGACTTGATGGCAGTGTACTGTCTAATTGTTGGCAGGGTATTGCCTAATTGTTGGCCGTGTCTGGTCTACTGTTTGGCAGGGTCCGGTCTAATTTTTGACACAGTCTGGTTTACTTTTCGGCTGGGTTTGGCGTAATGGGTGGCAGGGTCTGGTCTACTTGTTGTTAGGGCCTGGTCTACTGTTTGGCAGAGTCTTGTCTAATTCATGAGCGGGCCCCGGCATTCTGTCTGGCAGGGTCTGGTCGCCCTCCAGAGAACCCCTAGATGGGGATTTTGCTGCGCCGAAGCGGGGGGGCCCGCGCAGGGGAGCGCCCCTCCAGCGAGCGACGCCGCTCTACAAGATGGTCCAAGCGGCCCCCTCAGGGCCTGCAAGAGACCCCGAGAACAATCCTAAGGGGCCTTGAGACCCCCCAAACGAGCCCCGAGAGGAACCCCGCACCGCCAACGGGAACTGCCAGAGAACCTCCAGAGGACCTCGAATGGATATTCACTCTGCTCCACCCCCCCATCCCCCCCGCCCTCGTCGCCACGCACGCCGCCCGCCTGCCCCCCACTCCCCCCCCCCCGCCCCATCTTTCGACGAGAATCGCGAATGCGCGCGCGGTTCTCCCCCGTGTCTGACTGGGCTGTTCCAATGTTGGGGTATGGCGGCTGGCATAACTTCCCGCCCCTGTTGGCGCTGCGTGATGCTACAGATCCCTGACCAGGACAACTCGCCTGGGCGGGCCCACGGGGGCACGCGAAACGTTGTTGTTTTTTTTGGTGCGTGTGTGTGTGTGTGTGTGTGCGCGTGCGTGCGTGCGTATGTTTTTGGTCAGGGTGGCTCCCCAGGCGCGCATCGGCATTCCGTCCGCAGACACCGCCTTAGGCCCAATCTCGTTCCTCACTTTCCTCGCTGCAGACGCCCATGCGACGACGTCGCGCAGACTCGAAAAACACGCCCCGCCAGCGGCTGGGGGGGGGCGCTTCCGACACTGCGAGCTTCGACCCCGCTCTGCGCGCCGCGCGCCGCGCCGCCGCCCTCGCATCTGGATGCCCCGCGACGAGGCCTGGCGCGAGATGGATTACCTCCTGGCGCTCGTTTGCTGGAGCGCGGCGCATGCGGTGGCCGAGTGGAATTCCATCTGGGCGGCCCCGGGCTAAGACCAAGTGCGTCTTCGTAACGACGTCGAGGCCCAGCGACACTATGTAAAAGTAAGAGACGGTCAGGTCCGCGCTGGCTGCTAGCGCGCCCAAGTCGTGGAGAAGCGTAAAGTCTGGAACGACGACGAGGTCTGCTTCTGCACAGCGGTGTCTGCCAGTGACAGTAGCGCAACCTCTCGCAGGGCACGCGCCAGTCGCGCCGCCGAGGCTTGCTACCTTGCTGCACGGCGAAGGCCGCGCCAGAGGCTGCGTCGTCGCACCTCGTCTCGGAGCCAAGTGGACGCCGGGCGGACCCGCGAAAGGCGCCCCAGGGCGCGCCCGCGCCTGCGTGACGCCTGGTATATTATTGCGGCTGCGCGCCTGGAACTTACCCATGTCATCATTCCACAAAGCGCTCGCCTCGGTGCCGGCGCCAGAATGCACCGCGGTCGACGACTGGCCCCGCGCCCGTCGCAGACGCGCGGCACCCGCGGCCAGTCCGGCGGCCCCAAGAACGGCCCGAACACGTCCTCGAACAAGCCCGGGCGCCAGGCGCCTCTTCAACTTGGCCGCCGCAGTCGCGTGAGGATTGCAATGCCCACGCCGATGGCCGAACAGTTCCAGCCAGAGGCTGGCGCATTCCCTGGAGAAGGATGTCCAGCCCAATCCAGAGCGAGCCGCGCCTTCGGAGAAATCCACCGCCGTCTTCGGCCCGTTCAACTTCAGGATCAAGCTGTCGTCGTGGAAGGCGATATCATCGGTGCGGTGCTCTACCCGCTGATCCCGAAATCTGCCTAAGTCGCGTTCGACGGTGCACTCCCCGTCTTCAATCGAGATGTGGAATCGCACGAGGCGGCGCAGCACGCGAGAAGCCCCGCGGAGCCGCCTCGGGCAAGCCGCCCCCCAAAAGTTATCGTCGAGCACGCGAGCCCACGCCTGCTGGTTAGTGGCTCCCGCCAGTGGCTGAGACGGCTCCATCTGTTCCATCATGTAAGGAAGCACGCCGTTGTACTGCTGTATCGCCACCTGTTCGTCGCAACCGAGCAAGGCCGCCAGCTGGCGCACGCCCCGCAACAGGAACCGCCGCACTTCCACATCAGGCACTGGGCCGAAACCTGTCTGCACGAGACGCCGGTGAAACATCGCCAGCGCCGAGCGGGCGTCAGTCCGCGGGAAGTCCGCGAGCAAGCGCTCTCTTGTCAATCCCGCCACGTTCTGCAATCGGTGGAGGAGCTCCTCCTTGTGCGCCACTGCTGGCTTCCCCCATGGCATCGCGGGGTCGCCGTCTGCGTAGAACACATATTTGCGGCGAAGATTGCGCGCGGCCGTCTCTGCGATGAAGCCCGCCTCGTGCCCTGCCGCGCGGAGCCGCGGCAGCGGCTCCTCGGCAGCTGGGGCGGTCGCGCCAGAGGCTGCGGCTGCCGCGGGGGGGCGGGGGGCCTGAAGGACCGACTGGAAGACGCGCCCTTGCATGAGGACCGCGTCCAACGTCTCGACCATGCAGTCGATCTCAGAACGCGACTTCGCAATGTCGTGGCTGGCGACGTCGAAGAGCCGCAGGAACCAACCGACGGCCATGCAGAACTTAGTATCGAATTTCCGCAACAAGGCACCCGCCCGCTCGCGCTGCTCCCGCTCGTGGCGACGGTCGGACGCAATGTGCGCCAGCAAGGTTGCCACCGGCAGAAGCATGAGAGCGATTTTCAACGCCGGGCCCGCCGTCGAGTCAAAGCGTCGCTTGGCGAACGCCAAGTTCCGCACGATTCCCGCCAGGGGCTGGGGCCCTCCAGGGAGTCCGGGCACCGCCACTGCATGCACGTTGTCCTCCTGAATGGCCACCAGAAGGTTGCGCCACTTGCTGGAATTCATCAGGTCAGGAACCAGCGCGTGCCGATCATTGAACAGCTCGTTCCATACCTGCCCGAACACGTCGTCGCAGTGCATCGCTTTGCAGGCAATGCGCATGGCGTGAGCTGGGTCGCGAATCACGATTAACAAGTTAGGGAACAGATCGCGAGCAGCGATGAAGACTGAACGCCGCTCCTTGGGCGCGCCATCGGCTGCGAAACTGGTGACTGTTCTGAGCACGTGTGCTTTCAGTTCCTCGTCGCACGCCAGGCGCTGTGCTCCCCTGCGGCCATTTATTTTGCCGAGCGGCGCGCAGAATTTGGTAGGAATTCATCGAGCTGCTTAACCGCAGTGACAGCGTGGTCCTCCTCGAAGTCGGACGCGCGTTTCTTCGAGCAGTCCAGGAGGCCTAACACGCCGGGCGCGCAGAATCCTGAGGCGCCAACGTTCCCCACATGGACGCCCGCGCCGCTTTTTTGCGCAGCAGGGGGGTCGGGCGCGCCAGAGGCTGCGGTGCAATCGGCACTCGGGAGGTCGACGCGAAACCGCGCGATCTTCCGGTACTTCGACTCATCTATGGCCAAAGAGATGGAAGTCGCCTGGAGCAAGGTTCAGCGGATCCTCCTCCTCAGGACTTCCGCCATCACTTGGAGTTGTCGGCGCTGGCGTTTCCGTATTCTGTTCGCCTGCGTCGCCGCCGGATCAGGCGCGCGGCTTTTCTTATCGCAGACGCGAGCGGACTTGCGGAGCGAGATTCCTTCTGATAGCACCGCCCACGCGTCTCTCCACTCCGATGGGGTCGGTGCGTTTCCCTTCATCAGCCTGGAATCAGACTCAATCGCCAGAGGCTCGCATGGCCTCTCAGTTGGCCAAGCGGTCGGGCACGCCAGAGGCTGTGGCGCAGTCGGCTGAGCCATCATGTCGGAACCCTTTCTCTTTTTAATCCCACAGGCCACTCTGTGCGACGTGCTGCTGGTATGTCGCTCAAAGAGCATCCTGGCGTTGAAGCCCGTCTTCGGGCGAATCTGGAACTTGGCAAACTTCGAAAACCTGGCGCCGTCACACTGGCTGCCAGAAGCCGCAAACTCAGCGCAGATCCTGCACCCCAGGCCCCATATGCCGCGGCTCACGCTTCGTGACAACCACGACCGGCCCTCGTAGAGGGTACGCGCCTCGTAGACCTTAGGTCGCTTCTGCAAATCGCACCGGATGCAGAAGCCCTTGCACCCCGCATGGCTTTCCAGATGCTGCACCTCTGAAGTGGCCCCGTCAAACACCTGCAGCATATCATCCGAAAGTGGGCGCTTTCGCGACAGAGTCTGCGAAACCTTTCCCCTCGAGGGAACCTTTCGCGCCAGCGGTGGGGACGTCATATTGCGAGCTCTTCGCCGCTTTGAACGCCGCGCATGACCGCGGCCTCCGCGGGAGAGGCCTCGGCGAGGTTCTCGATGGACTCAGCCTTCGCTGCGAGGCGCGTACAACATGTTGATTTTTTTTCTGTGCCTCGGCCTTCTTCTGGGTCGCCCGCCGCGTGGCCGTCGGCTTCGGCCTCCCCTCAGCGCGCCTAGGTTTCGCCTGCTTTCCCGCCAGTGGCTGGGGCCCGAAACGAAGCGGCGGTGCAAGCAACACCATCCCGAGCAGTAGATCCCCCTGACACTGCTTTCCCCGGGTGCGTCGGGCCACCCCTGTTGAGCCAAGCGACTACTCGCGCGACATTCAAGCCAGAATGGCATGTGGAACGGGCGCCAAGGGTGGCTTGACATATTTTGAGAACGGCCAGCCTACACGACCACACTTCGGGTGATAGGGAAGTTGCGGGAGGGACAAACTGGAACTGTAGCGCAGCATCGCTCTGCGTCGCATTGCCAGGCATCGCGTGACAGAACGCAGCATGACATAGCATGGCATTGTATTGCACATGCTGGCATACCATCAGGTGGTACCACATCTCGCAACACATCAGGGCATAACATTGCAAATGAGAGCGCGGTATAGCATAGCAAAGCGAACCATACCAACACATTGCATGGCACGGCAAAGCATGGCATGCCATGACGTGTCATAACTGAGCTGGTCATAGCATGACATATCATATCATGACATAGTATCGCATATCCTGGCATGGAACATCATCGCATACAATCTCGTCGCATCGCCTAGCAAGACAAGGTATAGCATATCACGGGATATCATGACATACCAAAGCACGTCGCAAAACACCGCATAGCATCATCTGCCATATCACCGCATAGCACGGCATGGCATCGCATAGAATCGAATAGCACATCACAGCGCAGCATCGCATGGCATAGCGTCGCAACGCAAAAAGAAGAAGAAAAAAAAACACCGCACAACTTGCCCTAGCAAATTGTACACGTGGAGTGGCAGCAAACATACCCACCACAATACGAAACCTTCATGTAATGGGCAGCCGGTGGTGGACCAGTCAGCCAGAGGCCTCCTTCTCATCGGGGACCTCCCTCCTCCATCCCCTCTCATGGGGTGCTGTTGAGTCTGATCGCACTGCTGCATAGAGGCCCTGACGATGTAGCTGACGCTGGGATTCTATAGGAAGCGTGGGTGGAGGAGATGAAAAGTAGTGGGTAGCAGGTGGAGGGGGAGGAAGGATGAGGGGAGGAATAAGACGCCTGGAGAGAGTGATGAGTCAACATCAGGATGAGAAGATCAGTGCTACAAGAGGCACGGCTCGTAAGTACCGAACTAAGACACACGACATGTGCTATGATAATCAGCTTCAAGTGCTCTCCCTCCCCGCTGCCCCTGCCCTTTTCATCATCCTCCTCCTTCATCATTCTCCTCCAGCCCCTCTTCATACCCTCTGCTACTGCTCCAATTCCTCCTCAGCCTCCCCCACTCCCCTTTTAATACTACAATCCATCGTCGTCAGCATACTCCTTGTCCCCCTCACCTCCCACTAAACGGAAAGTGTCTTTACTACCCCACTGTTTTACTGGAAGCTGATTACTGTTTGCGCGGACTTCTTAACGGATTGGGACCGAACCTCCTGCGGCGGCCACTGTTGGTTTTCCTAGGGATTCGTAGGATTCGGAGGGTCCCTTCCTCGTACGACGACGACGAGAAGGATAACGACAACGACGACGACGAGGACACAGCGCCATATCGATTGGAGATGTAGTGAGATACCTTTTCATCCATGTACACACAAGCTGAAATTCCTGTCGTGCAGGGTAGAAAAGAGAGCAAAGCCCACTGTGATAAATAACCACCCAACAGCAACCCACAGGCGAACAATATATGGCAAATCACTGTGCGCGCGGCACACACACACACACACCGACCAAGCTCACCACCACTGTGGCGAGCTCTTACTGCGCACAAGTATGTGCGCGAGACCCCCATGTGAAGACGACGACAGCGACGACGACGACGACGAAGACGAAGCGCCGACTCGACCGGATATGTAATGAATTTTAGTGCGAGGCCTTGCACAAACAACCTCAATAATCCTCTGTCGCACAGAATGGACAAGAGTGCAAAAACCGGCGAGGAGAAGCATCCACCCCAAACCAAGAACCCACAAGCGAACAATAGTCAGACAAATATTTTCGCGAGGATGAGAAGTCCTAAAGGAGTACGAGGAGGGGAAGATCCTAGGAATCCTAAGGGAACTCCCTAAGGATTCCCAGGGAGGGAGCACGAGGAGGGCGAGGAGGGAGAGCGAGGAGGAGGCGAGGAGGGAAAGGACGAGGAGGGGGAGAACGAGGGGGAGGGCGAGGAGGATTGGGGCACGAGAAGGAGAGCCATGAGGGAGAACGAGGAGGGCGAGGAGGGGAGGAGCGAGGAGGGGAAGGACGACTATGACCTAGAACTGATCCCCCTACTTTCCCCCCCCTCGTTTTCCTCATCATACTCGTCTTCCCCCTCATCATCCACATAACCATGACCATCACATCATCACCATCACGATGCGCCTCGTGCTCGTCGCGCCGCTGTGCCCCACAGATTGCCGATCAAACGGCCAGGAGGCGAAGAGAGGGCCCGGGCCGCCTCCATGGACATCTTGAGCCCGTCACCGGTGCAATGCTCTCCTGCGGTTGAAGCTGCGCGGAAAGCGGCGTCGCTCGCTACCTGTCCTAGTCGTCCTGCTCCTCCTCGTCATCGTCCCCCGCATCGTCCTCGACACCATCACGTCACGTCACCATCACCACCGTCACCAATCATCATCATCATCATCATCATCATCATCATCATCATCATCATCATCATCATCATCATCATCATCATCATCATCATCATCATCATCATCATCATCATCATCATCATCATCATCATCATCATCATCATCATCATCATCATCATCATCATCATCATCATCAGCATCATCATCATCCTCATCATCATCATCATCATCATCGTCATCATCAGCAGCAGCATCAGCATCATCATCACCGTCACCATCATCACCCTCCTCATTATCATCATCACCATCGCTATCACCATCACCATCACCAACAACACCACCACCATCAGCACCACCACCATCAGCAGCATCATCAGCAGAATCATTGTATTGTTAAAAGGGTCGTGGCGGAGGGGACGCGCTGGCTGTGAGGCGAGGAGGAGCTGGGACGGCTGCTTGGGGGGGCGAGAAGGGGGGTGCGGCGCTGGTGCCGTGCGTGCCTAAATCAAAGGGTCGGGGCGGAGGGGGCTCGCGCGGCTGCTTTGGAAGGGGGAGGGGAGGGGCACGGCGCCCGTGCCGCACGTGCCGGCATAAAGGGGTCGGGACGGAGAGGGCGCGCGTGGGTGTGGGTGGGGGGGGCGCGGTGCCAGCGCAGTGCGTGCCGAAAAGTAACGGTCGGGGCGGAGGGGGCCCGCGGGCTGGTTGGCGAGAAGGAGGAGCTGGGCCAGGGCCAGCTGCCTGGGGGGAAGGGGGGCGCGGCGCCTGTGCCCTGCGCGCGGAAATGAAAAGATCGGGCGGAAGGGGCGCGCTGGCTAGAAGGCGAGGAGGAGCTGGGACGGCTGCTTGAGGGGGGGGAGGGGGGGGGCGCGGCGCTGGTGCCGCGCGTGCTGAGCGAGGAGTAACTGGGCTGGCTGCGACTGGGGGAAAGACGGGGGGATCCCGGCGCGGCGCCGGGGGGGGAAGAGGAAGGCGCGGCGCCAGATCCGTGCACGCCGACATGAAGGGGTCGGAAAGGAGGGGGCGCGCGCGACTGCTGGCAGGAAGTAAAGGGGCGCGGCGTCAGCGCCGTGCGTGCCCAAGTAGATTGGTCGGG